TTTTGTTAATGGTATTTTTACTAGAAAAAGAGGCTGGAACATTTTCAATGGTGGTACTGAGGGTAAAATTTTGCTAATGGTATTTTTATTAACCAAATACGTACACGTTAAGAAAGGGTCGAAATTCATTTGGCTATCAATGTGCCACAGGTAACTCTCTGAGAACATTATGACATTGGCTCTCAAAACGGTATTATTTTTGTAATCAGATTTTTATTATTATTTTTATTCAACATACAAGTGCACATGAAGGAGATGTTGATGCAATTAATCAAACTCATTTCGAAATTGAGCCGGGTAACGGTAACATTCTTAAAATCACTTTTTTATTAATAGTTTTATTATTTTCCACACTTAACTTTCTTGCTAATTTTTTATTATATTATATAACAACAATGATAGAGGGCCCTAATTTCTGTGGCTCAAATGGCTCGAATTTGCCAAAACGACGTCGTTTTGAGTACAAAACAACATCAAAATTGCCAAAACGGCGTCGTTTTGGCAAATTTGAGCCATTTGAGCCACAGAAATTAGGACCTCAAACATTTTCCATTATATAATTAGATTTTGCTATTATAATTGCAGGTGTTCATTCAGGAGTTGATGCAAATGTCGAGCAAACTAACATAACAAATCATTCTAAAATAAGTCCACAAAATGGTTAGTTTCACACGAATTAATAAAATTTTAAAAATTATTAAAAGTATATATTTTAAATAAGTCCACAAAATTAGTCCATATTTTTCTATTTTGATTATAAAAAAAATATATGCAAATTAAAAAATAATAGACAAGCCAAGTAAATCATATTTATAAATTAAAAAAAATATATGTATTATATTTATAAATTAAAAAATAATAATACACAAGCCAAATAATAACCAAAATTATTATAATAGATTATAACTAAAAACCACAAAAATCATAACTGGCCATATAATTCACCGAAAAATATCATATGGTACACCTTTTTTTGAGTGTGTATTATACAATGTTCAAAAATTATAATCCATATACATTTTTCGCTTTACATTTTTTATAATCTAGCATGGCTAATACATTTATATTATTAGCATTTTTTATACCAAATATATATATATATATATATATCATTCTTATATAGTTCTTGAACTTCTGGGAGGGCAACAAAAATTTCTCAAACATTAAAGATATCTTCTTATTTAAAAAAATAATAATAATTATAAAAATAATTCTAAAAAATCATACCAAGCATAGCCTATAATTTTCACTTCAATGTGGTACACACATAAATTTCTCATTTGCAACAATTTCCATAAATTAACATAATATTCCATAATACTACGCATCTTATATTTTATCTTATTGTAATTCACCTGAATTGATATTGCATTTGGATAGCTCAAGTGTTCAACAATTATTGTGTTATGTCTAACGATAGCAAAATGATGAAATGAAATTTTATCTCTGGTCCAACTATATGACACGTGATGCAATTATTCCCACTGAGGAAGAAATTATTTATTATTAATTTAGTTTGTGGATGCAGCAAGATGATTTTCTATTAATAATATTTAGTTTTATTTGTAATTAGATTTCGGTAATCAAGATGTGAGCACAATAATGACAATTGTTGTGTATTTGCATTTAATAATTTTTTAATTTTTTACGAAAAGATATACAAAAAATAGCGAAAGTGATATGACAATTTATAATGACTTTTTGACTAAAATATGTAGTTATCAAACGAGACCTAATGCAACTCAATGATATGGTGATGTACCGCAACACAACCTCCAATAATGGAACAATCAAAATTTATCCTTCATAATGGTTAGTATTAATAATGTTTGAGAGTTTTAATGCAACTCTAATGATATGAAAGTACTCATGTAAAGGTGTGACCCATACGAGCAAGGATCCTCTAGAGTTTTTTTTTCCTAAAGTTTCTTAGAGTGGTGCATTGTGTGGTTGAGATTTAAGGACAAGTCACATCAATTTTTCAGCATTAAATCTCAACCACATAATACACAAACTTTAGGAAAAAAATACTCTAGAGGATCCTTGGTGGACCCATACTCCTCTCTTTATCTCTATCTACTTTCTCTTTTCCATCTCACTAGAATTCCATTTAAAATTCTCAAATTAGAGAAATGTATCATTACTCGGTTAGTATCTATTCCACCCTTCTATCTCGGTGATATTGAGTACCAACTTTCACAGATATATTTGCTGACATTGCTTTTCTAATTGTTTGTGATATTTAGTTTTTAGCAGCAGTCATGTATAATTTTTTATTTAAATTATTTTCCGAAATTCATTGATAAGGCTTAGAGATAGACAAACTAATAAGTACTTTGATTAAGTTTATTTTGAATTTTGTCCTAAAAATAATATGAATTGCGTAAATTTAAATTGGTGTAATGTAAATCATTTTGGTCATTATTTTTTAGTGGTCCCTTAAATTAAATTACTGACAAAAATTATAAATTAAACAAAACAATTGGTCCCCTAGGACGGGTCTTACGCGAGGGGCCCACTGCGAATTGTCCACGCTTTTGAGCATAATTTATAGAATTTCCCTTTGATTACAATTTATGGATGGAGAAAGGAATCCAGTAAATTTGGATTGATTTTTTAAATTTATGATTTGATTTTAGATTAAAAAATTAAAAGTTTGTAATTTACAGATTGGTTTCAAATTGAATCTCACGATTTTAAATTGAAATCGATCTGGACCGTATACAGATAATCTATGTTTATATTATACACCATCCGCATAGTATGTTCTCTTTTTCTATATAAAACGTAAATCCGTATATTATCTTTTTTTATTATTTTTATTTGTTAATTTTTAGTTTTAATTTGTAATGATCTAAATACTTATTGTGAAACTAGTTTTCTTATGGTTGTTTAAATTATAGAACTCACTATTATGAAAAGACATGTTATTATTGTGGAACTAATATGATACTATGTTTATATTTTTATAAAATTAAAATATTGTATATTTTTTTTATTTAATTATGTAAATTCGTGGTTCTAAACCGATCCAATCCGTATTTAGATAGATTGGTTCATATTGGTTTCACGATTTAAATGAATTAGATTGATTCAAATTTTTTAAAAATTGTAGATAACGGATTAATTTTGATTTTATCCTAATTCAAATCAATAACCATGATCACCTTATGGAACTACTCATTCTTACTTGGCCACGTTTACTTGGATTTTTACCTTTATATTTTTGTTAATTCATCATTTTTAATGCAATTCTACAGATAAATGAATTGACTAGAGTGTCAATCTATATACAAATCACTTTTTTATCAAATAACAAATAGTATATAATATATAAAATGGGAGTTTTTTGATAAATTCTTTTTTTAAAAGTTTTATTCTATTCAATTCATTTTTTTTTTTTTATTCCATTAAGTCCTATTTGAGGTAAGAAAATCAAAACACCTTCAATCTCTCATGTCCTCTATTAATGTTGATATTTAATGTTGATTGTCATTATGGTTTGATAGTTTCCATGCATAAGGATGTTACCTATTATTATATTCATATTAATTTGAAATAAATTTTTGTCATTGTGCTGTCAATTACATTATGTGAATATTCACATCATGTAATTGAAATGAATATTCACATCATTATATTTACATTAATTTGAAATGAATTTTTATCATTATGTTGTCAATTACATGATGTGAATATTCATACTAAAATATACGAATGTGAACGTTCGCATCACTACATTAGATGAGAGAGAATGTTCATATGTTGTGAACATTTATATCACTACATGTTGTAAATAAGAATGTGTTATCAATTAAAAATATAATTAACGTTATTTTTAATGTGTCGTCAATTAAAAATAAGAAGGTTCACATGTTGTGAACGTTCACGTCACTACATTAGATGAGAGAGAACTTTTCAGAAATGTGTTGTGAACGTTCACATCAGATGAGAGAGAACGTTCACATTATTTTTAATGTGTTGTCAATTAAAAATATATTCACATCAGATAAGATAAAATATTCACATTATTTTTAATATGTTGTCAATTAAAAATATATTCACATTATATAATAATGAATGTTAATAACATCAATGTTATTTAATTTGTGTATGAAATATGCTCCATTGCATTTCGCGCTCTCTCCTCCCCAAACATTAAATATCAACATTAAATATCAATACTACATATAAGAATATAAGAGTCTAAGAAAATAGTGTAAATTAAGAAAAAAAGACTTTATGGAATAAAACTATACATGCATGGGACTAAATGGGTTAATAAATTTCTTCATGAACTTTTTGGATTAAAACATTTCTAAATGGGATTTATTAATAAAAATCCTTTTTTAATAATGTCAATTTTATTGATTTTGTCTTGACATCTTCAGTTTCTAAATCTTTATTCCAAATATACTTTCAATTCTAAAATATGGTGAGAATTTCAAAGTACTACCATACAGCATTTTGATAATACTCGGTAATAAATAAATAAATAAATAATTAGGCACTTCAATTATGGCAATATTGGGTAAGCATCATATTTGCATGTAATCAATCAACCTGACAAGCCCTAAAAATAAATAAAAGCGAATGTGAATACAATGACAAATTTTGATAGGAAAAAAAATAGAAAAAGAAAGAGAGAGACGTCCAACGCGTCAAGTTCGAATAAAGGAAAGGCATCAAAGATAAGAGAAAGTTAACAATAATTCCTCCAATATTTTCAAGTGAAATGCAATCCATATACTATCCAATAAACTAACCCAAAGTCTAAAAAGTAACTCCACCAATCTCCAATGGTCCCACACGTCTTCACTAAAAAGAAAGTCACGCGTCACAGCTCTGTTATCATCATAAAAATTGATTATATAACTAAGTATAAAATATATTCTTATCTATTGACATATAAAAAAATCAAAAAATAATTTAAATGAAGACAATAAAAAACAGTAGCTTAATGGAGCAAAATCATCTATAAATACCAGAAGTGGAGCACAATAATAATTCTATGAATGAGAGACAACCCACAAACCATCCAAACCTTATTGACATTTGTTTACTTGTAAACAATGCAAATGCAAGTTTTTCATTTAGTTGTCTTAGTGATATTGGCAATGAGTGGTTTCAAAGTACAAGGCCAAGGATTGAAAACAGGTTTTTATTCTTCTTCATGCCCCAAAGCAGAGGCCATAGTCAAATCCACTGTTGAAGCTCACTTCAACAAAGACCCAACCATTGCTGCTGGCTTGCTCAGGCTTCATTTCCATGACTGTTTTGTTCAGGTACAACACAATAAAGCATGACCACAGATATGGACACATAAGACAACGATCTTAAAAAATTAAGGCACGAACACGGTCAGTATTGCTATGTAACATTGATTTTTGTCCTAATAAAGATTGATTTTTCATGTGCTATAGGGTTGTGATGGATCAGTCTTGATTGTCGGAGCTTCAGCTGAGAGGAATGCCTTGCCAAACCTTGGTGTACGAGGTTTTGAAGTCATTGATGATGCAAAAACACAGCTAGAGGCCTTGTGCCCGGGGGTAGTCTCATGCGCCGACATACTAGCATTGGCTGCCCGTGATGCGGTTGACTTGGTATTTATTAGCAATGCTACATATACAGAAATAAATAAATAATTAATTATACGCCTTAAGTTTTCTATGCACGTAACTTTCACAAATATTATAAATGGGTGATGAATAAGTTCTTTTCTTTTCTTTTTTTTTTAATCTCAGAGTGATGGTCCAAGTTGGCCAGTGCCAACAGGAAGAAGAGATGGGAGGGTCTCATCATCATCTGAAGTCTCAAGTTTTTTGCCTTCTCCTTTAGAATCCATGGCAGCCCAAAGGCAGAAGTTCGCGGTTAAAGGCCTAGATGACCATGACCTTGTTACATTAGTGGGTATGCTCCATTTCTCTTCTAATGAGGCCTATTTGATCCCAAAAATTACGTTCAAAATGAATCTGAACCACTTCAATTTTTCTGTGTACTTTTCTATATATTTTTCCTGTGCATGTAGCATTCATGCTATTTGATCACTTACCATAATATTAATGAGAAAGTATAGTAACATATTTACTTTCTTGTTTTTCCTTAACTGTGCAATGTCTAGGTTCCTTAAGCTTTCTAATTAACCCATGTAGCAAGTTTTGGGCCAATGACTCCCAAACCAGATGGTTTTAGGGCATTAGGTGTAGAGACACCCCTACGGGCTTAATAACTCGAGTTGAAAAGGCTACGAATCCGAACAAGTCATTCTTCTTATTTTTCCTTAACTGTGCAATGTCCAAGTCCCTTAAGCTTTCTAATTAACCCATGTAGCAAGTTCTGGGCCAATGACTCCCAAACCAGACGGTTTTAGGGCATTAGGTGTAAAGACACCCCTACGGGCTTAATAACTCGAGTTAAAAAGGCTACGAACCCAAACTAGTCAAGTGTCTTTTTTTTTTTCTTTTTTTTTTTTAAAAGAATATTGGCTCCTCATTTATTCTTTTCTGCAACTCTATCTATTATCAATGATATACACCAGGGATTATAATAAAAAGATCACCGCTATGATAGTGTGATCATGTGAATTAAGGCATACTCATGACAAGTGTACTAATACCACAAACACAGACAACTCTTCTCGTGCAAACATCGCATGCAAGTATCTACCCAATAAACCCTTTTCATACAAGTCTACTATACTCTCCAATAAACATATGCAAATATCATCACCCTACTAGTAAAAAGTCATATCAAGTGAAGTAATGCAATTAAGTGAAACAGGTATAAGCATGAATTATGAGCCAAATAGAATTGCACAAAAGAAAATATAACCCTCATCCCCCAACTTGAATATGACATTGTCCTCAATGGAAAAGTAAAGAGAAATGAGAGAATATTACCAGAATTGTAGGTGCACATCCAGGTAGGCAGAGAGTAACATATACACACTTCACACAAATTTTTTTTTTTTTTTTGAAAGAAAAGAAAGAACAAAAAAGAAAAATAAAAATAAAACTAAAAGAGACAAAGCAATAGACAGGCGGGTACTACGAGGAAGCCAATGGTGGTGGTGGCGGGAAATGCTGGGCAAACAAGGCTTGCATCAAAGAGCGCGTCTCAAAGGCCTCATCCTGAACTCGTTGCTAGATGGCGAGGTTGTCGGCGTGCAGCTGGTCGAAAGTCGCCTAAGAATAGTCTCGATGCGCCTGATCCACAGAGTGCTGAAGCTGTAAGTACTCCTCACGAGTCATGTAGAGTGGGTCCCCTTAGGGAGGCACGGGGGGAATAGGATGAGCTGGGTGGTCATGTACGGGGTCCTGGGCCTCATCAACTAGGGCACCAACCGGCTGTGGGACGCGAGATAGGCTATGCTGCCATTCCCACTGGCCGAAAGTCGGATACCCTCTATCAATCTCCTCATCCTCAGCAATGGAGAGGTGGTTCAGCTCAAACACAAGTGTCAACAAATTGGCAAATGGTAGTGGCCAAGTCAGGTTCTGCATAGGATCAGGCCGAACTGCCTCTCGTAGAAATTTTCGCAAATGCATCCAGATGGTATGCGCAAGCGGGACCTGATAGCCATACTGATACCTGTGTAAAACCCGAACAAACTCCAAACGATGCTCAGCTCAATGCCCAAGTGGAAAGACATTCTTATGGACCACGAAATCAATGAATAGCAAGCAACTAAGCAGCTTGCTTCGCCGCAAGCATGTGAAACTAAGGTCACCGTGGGCCCCCGGGAAGTATTGCTGGATGAGGCTATGTATGGGCTGTCGATCCTCAACTTCCAGGAAGGGCTGATATTCCGGCTTGGCGAAAAACCTAACACTGTGGCAATCATGGATGAGGTGATGTGGACAACCATCCGCGGTGGGTGTCTCATACAGGTTCTGGTAGAATATTCGTACCAGACGAGGATAAGTGGGCGCTGTCACAGCGCAAATGCCTAACTGTTGCCGGAGGCGGAGCTGCTCAACGGCCCAAGTAGTGTCTACGTCACGCTGAAAAAATAGCATATTGAACTGCGTGAGCTTGTGAAGAGAGCGTGAAGCCCACTCCGGCCGGGGCAAGTCACTCGGTGGTGGTGGCGAGGATGGTGGTGACGGTGGCGGTGGTGGCGCCGAAGAGATGGAACCTCTGGCCTTCTTGGAGGCCCGAGCAGATACACGTTGACTCATATCCTGCACACACCAAAAGCAAATAGACACAAACCCGTGGAGCCAATCATGAGAATAAAATATAATATGAAAGCACAAGTTTGCCCACTAATGTACCACATGCAATTCCCACTTCATTTTTTTATGTTTTTTTTTTTTTTGTTTTTTTGTTTTTATTTATATATATATATATATAAACGAAATTAATTAAATAAATGAATAAAAATGACATTAAATTAAATTAACTAAACTATAAAATAAACTAAATTAAACTAAAATATAAAATAACTAAACTACAAAAGAGACTAAAGTATAAAATAAAATAACCTAAACTAAACAGTTATTTATTTTATTTTATTTTATTTTATTTAATAGAGAAGAAAATAAAATAAAATAAAATAAAAGCTAAACTACTTAATAATTAAATGAAAAATTACATCAAAGAATAAAATAAATAAAAATAAAAATAACAGCACTAACTAGACAAATAAAAATAAAAATAAAAACAAAACAATCTAAAACTAATTAAACTAATGACAATCCCTAACGAAACAATTTAAACTAAACAAATATAGCAAATAAAAAAAAACTAAATTAGGATTAGTATTAGCACCATGATTTCTGAGTTTTTTTTTTTTTTTTTTAAATGGCTTGACTCCTGCACATGCGCCATAGAGGGCTGCACGTGCGATGCTCACCCTCTTCCTACTTAAACTAACCAGAATCACTAATGAAATTATTTAAACTAAACAAATGGAGGAAATAAAAATAAACTAAATTATTATTATTAACTTTATTTCTGTTTTTTTTTTTTTATTCTGGCATGGGCCGCACGTGTGCCGAGTGGGGGCCGCACGTGCGCCGATGGTGTTCTTGCCCATATTCGCAAATGGTTTTTTTTTTGGATGAACAATAGATCTTAAAAAAAAAGAAAAAAGAAAAACAACATCAAATCATCCAAAATCTACACATAAAAGGAAAAAAAAAATTACCTTGAAAAAATGGAGACAGAGAGAAAAAAAATGGAGGTTCGCCGGAAAAAAATGGTGGTCGCCGGAGATTCGTCGGACGGAGGTGAAGTGATGCCGGCGGTGAGATGATGGTGGTGAGGAAGAAGAAAGAAAAAGAAAAAGGAAGAAGAAGAAAGAAGAAAAGGGAGAAGGAAAAAGTGGGTTTGTGGGGTTAAGAGAGAGAGAGAGAAGTCTGAGAGAAGTTTGAGAGTGATTGGGAGAGAGTAGGGGGTGTGATGTAGATAAGGTTTGTCTTTTTTTTTTTCTTTTTTTTTTTACGAAAATAGGAAATAGAAAATAAAAAAAAAACAATTTGTTTTTTTTTTTCGGAAAATTCCTGCACTAACCCACGCACCTGCTTTTAAAGCAGTGTGCGATTTGAAGTTTGCCAAATTTCCCGCACGTGCGGGGCCCAGGCCACACGTGCGGCGATTTCACCCCTCGCGCAATTTTTTTTTTTTGTTTCAATCGTCGTCCCGCACATGCGGGGCCCAAGCCGCACGTGCGGCTTGGTCAACGCCTCCTCCCCCACACCTGCTTATTTAGCAGTACACAACTTTGATTTTGTGAGATGTTGCCGCACGTGCAGGAATTTTTTTTTTTTTTTTACCAACAAGTACAACACAGATTTTTTATTTTTTTATTTTTAAAATTGAACAAGTATAACAACTATATATATATTTTTTTAAATGTGGTTGAATACTTGATTTCCCAAATACCACAAAGAAGAAATCAAGGTCTTACCGAGGCTAGGGAGGGTCCCTTCCACCCACACGCATGCAATGACCTTTTTCTGCTACATTGCAACAGCGTAGTTTAACAAAAGCAAGAAGCACTCGCAAGCGTACATGCTTTAGGAAAATGGAAAACTAACTCCCAGCACCTAACAAAAAGGCACCAGAGTTACGACAGAAAGTTGTCACTTCAGAATCCCCCAGGTAATAAAGCTCAGCGCAGTTTATAGCCTTCGGGCTAGTACAACCCAAAGTATACTTAACAATTTCTACCTTCAATTGACATCCGAAATAAATATAGCACATAAGAAAATAACGGAATGCCCACTAAAGGTATAATCTTCACGTGAAAATCACGGGTACTACTTTTCTCCCTAACTATGTTTGTAACTTTCCCTATTCTCCAACAGGGTAACAGACTAAGTTGATTCGGTATCCAGAATCGAGGAGCATAAAGCTACCTCAACCTGTGGGGCTGCCATACAGAGTTCAAGCCGGGGTAGTTCTGAAGCAATCTCCACACCCCTGGGTATTTAAACCAGACTCTAGTCTCGAAAATTCCAAACCTTTGTGTTCTAGGCTTTGCCATTCGAACTCTAGTTTCCACCGTCTCAGTTGGTCTCCTAGGAACTCACTACAAACACGGTTAGGTGGCTATACCAGACCGTCAGATGCCGTTCGGGCACGGCTAACACCAAAGGAATTACACCTTTAGAGGATTTAAAGTCTCCTAGACGCAAGTAAAGCATAACGAGAACAAAGAAAAGCAGAATAGCATAGAAGAGAAAGAAAAGAAAATAAGAAATCAATCTATCAATCATAATAAAATGGGTCCATCAAAGCAATGGACTCAATCATATCCCCATTCCCAATCCCCTCTATATATGGTTTCAATCTTTGGCCATTCACTTTGAAAGTGTGGCCAGTTTTTGGATCTCGCACCTCAACGGCGCCATGAATAAATGCCTCAACAACCTCAAACGGGTCATCCCATATTGATCTTAGCTTACCCGGAAAGAGTCTCAGTTTTGAATTAAAAAGCCACACTTTTTGACCGGGTTCAAAGGATTTTCTATTAATGTGCTTGTCATGAAATTCTTTAGTCCGAGCTTTAAAAACTCTCGAACTCTCATATGCATCATTCCAGATTTCCTCCAGCTTATTGAGTTGC